CACATAATTTGTAATTATAATATACATAATAAAAGATGTAGGCAAAAAATACCACCCTTAAAAAAAAAAAAAAAAAAAAAAAACAACTCAATTACTTTATTAAATAAACTAACAATTCCTAGAAGAATAATTGTGTCTTCATACACGAATCACTTGAATAAATTGTAGATTGGTTATAGTGTCTTCATACACATATAACTTGAAAACTTTATTGAATAAACTGTAAACTTGATTATACGACTATTTGTATCTTCATATACAATTAGCTGTTTGCCTCTTTCATAATTGCAAAATCACCAAATCCTCTTAAAAGCATAACCGCAACTAACCATATACTTTACTTAGCATAAATCGGCACTTGAATATTAATTTCCTAATCTACCCGTCGCTATAGTAAAATTGTTATACAGGACTTATAAGAGGTAGTTTCGGGTGTAACAGATAACTACCTGATCAAATTCGATGAATTCTTTTTTTTTTATTATTTTAATTCTACACATTCATAACATTCATAGAATTAAAATAAAAAAAAAATTCATTGAATTTGGTCAAGTAGTTGTCGAGAAACGTTTTAAAAAATTTAGCACAATTTACTAAAAGACGGTGCAAACTTTGAGCGAAGTTTTCTCGACACCAGATTCGATGAATTTTTTTTATTTTAAAATATTATCGAATTTGGTTAGATAGCTATTATTGAGAAAATTTCGATCAAAATTTTAAAAAATTCAAAAAGCACTTTACTGATAGACGGGACAGATTTTTCTAAACTTTGAACGAAGTTTTCTCGACGAAATTGTAGAATTTTGTTCAATTTTTATGTTACACCTGATCTTGAAATATGATTGGCTAAATCCACGCGATTGCATTTTCCACTAACGCTAAGTTGCTAGATGCATGACTGGTTCAATGCTTTAGTTTATACTGGAAAATTATTAGACTTTTCGAAACGTTCAAAACAATAACAATATTAAAAAAAAAGTGATAAAACTATAACAATAAATAGTGGAGAAATCTAAGGTAAGAACTCATTTTGAATGGCTTACGAACTATAGTTCGATCTTTCGTTTGATTTTTTTTAAAAATCTCACCTGGTTTAAATTTTCCTGAAGGTTACGCCCTTCATTTTCGATTTTAAGCTTCGTCTTCCATCAAAAAGATTTGGGTTTCGTCGGTATTTCGTTTCTTGCCGCTTTTAAGTTTCGTCACTACGCAGAAAAGATTTCGCCTAACACTATAATAAAGGCCCAAAGAGTTATAAAATGGTTAAAGCGGTCCGAGGTAATTTATCCATGCGAATATATGAAAAATTTCTAACTTTGATTTTATTTTGAGAGATAACAAATGTTATTTATTGATAATATATAGGAACAATTGTTAAATGGTATTGAAATTTAGCCACCAAAAAATTATAATAATGATCAAACTCCGGTAACTCTTTTTTTTTTTTTTTATTCAAGTGACCCAGCAGTTAAGCAAGTAATTATTAGTCTCGATAAGAACGAAAAAGTCATTATTGAAGATCTTGATGACAAACATCTTTTAATTGATTCAGCACGTGTTGATTATATCAAGAAAGAAGTTGAGAAGTTGTTGGAAGAAAACACATATAAATCAGAGTTAGACAGGACATTATAAGGCTAAGAATAAATGAATCAAAGAAAGGGAACAGGCGAATGTTAGGAATTGCTGGTTCAAAGAACCAAAGTGTTCTGCCATAATTTATTTGTATAGCATAATTATTTGTAAAAATAAAGTATAAATCGTTTAATATAAGCTCATCGCTTTCTTTCAAAGTAAGGTGAAGAGCTCATATATAAAATGCTTTGATCCACAACCCATTCGCCAACACCAAGAAATTTGTTTACAACACTTCGAACTTCTGCGTTCTCAATTCGGTGTGTGGCAAGTCTGCTCAAGAAAATTTTGTTATTCGATAGCAATAAAACAACTAAAACCTTTGAAAATAAATTAACTTACGTTAATCCAGTAGACCTTTTGATACCTGCTAACACTGCGGAAACAAGTACTGCATCAGCAGCAAAATGAACAAGTCTGCCAATACTAAATGTCATGTCTTATCTATAGTTGTTAGGTGAACCTTTTCGTGTGATGGCGAAGAAACTTAAAAACCGCCGCAATACCAGACCCTGGTGAAAATCGTATCCTAAAATCGGAAAAGACGAATGAAAACCTGCAAAAATTCTGACGAATTTTTAAACCTTGGACGAAACCTAAGAGTTAAGCTATAGTTAAGTAAAAGGGTTGGTCAAATCGTTGGTTATAACCAAAATATTAAACAGTTTTGTTACACGAATATAATATAATAATATATATAAAAAGGAAAAAATAAATTGTCCGTGCCAATCATTTTTTATTATAAACAATAAGGGTTCTGACGTGATTACGTAAAATAAAATTTTGTATAATGTAAAATAGACAAAGGTTTTAAGTAATTAAATAAAAATTCAAATTTCATTTTAATCCAATTTCATTATGATCCGCGATATTTATTATCTAATACGTATTCATTTATTAGAGAGGCTTACCCCTACGTACTCTTAGGTAATATAATCAAATTATTTTGATTTTTACTACGTACGTACGTACGTACGTGCGTAAAACGCATCTATGATATACATGTGACCGAAGCTTTTAACGGTTTGACGAATCCAAAAATCAAATTATAAAATTGAAACCCGGAAGTGAATATTTTTTTTAGTTCTCAGTGTGTTAAACTTAGCCCTGAACAAAAAAAAATATGTTATTTCACCACACATATGGTACAATAAGTGTTTTAGTCAAAAATACATGCAGCATAGTGAATTCAAAATTTATTTATCTAACTTCTTTTGTTATTTACTAATAAGTAATCAAGAAAAAAAAATATATACCACATAGCATTAAAATTTTTATGGAATTTTTTTTGGTATATTATTTTGTATTATTGAAGTAAGTGAACTTTGAGAATTAGAATTCTTATAAAAAAATAATTTTAAAAACATTTTTAGCAAATATTTTTGTTAAAAGTATTCAATTGTATTATATATTTTAGTTATTATAACACTACTTAAGAAATATATAAAATTAAAATATTATATTAAATATTTTTATTTCAAACATTCTTTTTGCTAATTCTTTATACACAAAATTATCAAAAAAACATTTAACAAACTTTATAAATGTTATTAGAAAACATAGCCTAAAATAGTGTTTCTGTAAACTAAACTGAACTGAACTTTTGGCCAAGTTCAAGTTTAGTTCAAAATTGAACTAAACTTGAACTTGAACATTTTTTAAAAAAGTTTAGTTTAGGTTCAATATTAAACTTTTAAGTCAAGTTTAGGTTTAGTTTAGATTCAGTTCAAAACTTTATAAATATATTCAAGTTTAATAAATTATATATATATTATATCAGTATTGGGCAAATTAGTGGTCAACCAAAAATTTACTAGTCAAATTGGTTTAGTCAAATTGGTCAATTAGTCAAACTGGTCTAATTGGTCAAGTCTATTATATAAATATAATATATATATTATATTATTTAGTATAATAAATCATATTTAAATATTCTATTTGACCAATTTGATCAGTACAGATCCTTTGACTAGATCAATCAAATTGATTAAATTGGTCTGGTCCAATGATCAAACTGGTTTGGTCAAGTTAACACTAATAAATAT